AAAACGCAGAGTAATTAAAATTTGCATTGTGCAGCCCTCCTTCTCAGTGGGTACCTTTCCAAGGGAAGCAATGACTTTATTGTGAAAAATATAAACACAGATTTAGAGATGTAAATTACATGCATGTTTTAATCTTATTCATAAACACTGGAAGTTTTAAGAATGTAAATATTATCAAAGTACACAACTACAGCTGAAACCAGACTTGAGAAAGACTTTGAGAAAGAAAGAAGGTGAAAGGGCCCCCTAGCCTCCCCGACCCCCACACCCTGCCCATCCCAACCCTACCTACCTCCCCCCCACCCCCCTCTACCTTTATGTATTTGGAAAAGAGGAAGTAGGTTTCTGTCCTCCAGTTTCTGAGGACACAAATCCTTGTCTCTAGCTGGTTGATGTCACAGAAGAGACAGTAGTGTTAACCCTTTCTCTCCACTTCCTCTCCCGTCTCTGCATGTGATGTTTGAGGTTAATGAGTATCTGTACCAAGTGACTAAGTGTTGGATAATCTGCAACACGGGAGGGAAGAAGGAAATTTACCCAGATACTATCCAGAGTCCTTTATTTCCATACTTTAAGCACGACAGGGACCTCAAGTAGAGCCAGGTCTAAGGGCTGAGCTTAGAGGGAGAGTACAAAATGGTAGAAAATTCACTGAGCCGGTGTTGAAGGAATGTGTTTGGGTTCTACCTTGACTGTCCCTGGCTGCCAAAATGATTTTGGACAAAGCCCTTCGCTTCTCTGGGCCACAGTTTCTCCATCTGTTGAAGTCATTGAGTTGGGTAAAATGAGCTTTAAGCTTCCTTCCAATTCGAACTTCCTACAATATTGTGCCTCATGTATCCAGTCCAATCCCCATGGGGTCCTGGAGACTCACACCCAGTGTGGTACCCTTCCCTAGGTGGCCAGGAGTCAGCTGTGTTTCAGACAAGCCCCAAGACTTTCCTCTGCTAAAGCCCTTCTGTACTGTAATTTAAAGCCAGGACTTCCTGAGACTTGTTGGAAGTCCTCTGTCCTGGCACCTCCTTAGCTGTGCAAGGAGCCCTCCCAGTAGAGAATGACCTGATGTCTGTCCAGACCATCAAAGCTCATGGTTGGAGCTGCCATTAAGATGACCCAACCCAACAGTCCTATGTACTTCATCTCCGTTGGTGCCTGAAGTATCTGTGGGACTTCTGTACTGCGTTTCTCTCTCGGCTCCTTTTTGGGAGTCGGGCAGTGGGAATTTCTTGGATTATAGGGAGACATCCTTGTCAGAGCATCCTGTCATTGGACGCTCACTTCATAAATCACTTCAAATGAAATTCAAGTGTGGAATTCAGGGGAGGCTTAGCTTTGAGGAACCCAAGGCACAATTTCATTTGAAGAGTTTTTGTAGTGCGTTGTGGGCCTGGGCGACTCCACCAGGAGGAGAGCATGAAATCAGGTCCTCCTTGACTGATTGCTTTAAGGTGGAGAATAGAAAGGACGTTGAGAAGTGAGCATTTGCCCTGCTGATACGTGACACAGCAGAAAGGGACTGGGATTTGGAAGGAGGCTAAGAGAAATGGTTGTGGGTTTGAAGGTACATTTTCCAATCCGACCCCTTGTTGCCACCTGATCTTGAAAGAGGCCATTTCAAAGGACCACTGAGTCCTGGCCTGACCAAGACTTCACCACATGACCTTTGTGATGGTTGCCTCTGGCTGCCCTGGAAACGAAACAGGGTTTGGCCGGGTTCCAAAAAGAGCTCCCCAATCTGATTCAATTGGCCGATCAGAATGGTGACATTTCCAGAGCAGTCCTTGGACAAGGTGCTGGGAAATAGGAGTTGGGGGGGCATGAGATGTGTGTTCCCAAACTGGAACTTTTGGAAAAACAAGAGGAGGGGTGAGTGTAGGAAAGAGGAATGAGATATTAGGAAAAGCCTTGGGGTCGTCTAATCTTATGATACCGAACACTGTTTTTCTTGATTTATAAGGATAGACATGTATGTTACATTCATGCACTGTCGGCAACAGTGGTTGTGCCTGACACATTTTGTCATTGATCTTTTAATGATCGAGAGTAGAATGGAGTAATCTACACAAAGCTAATGTTCCTATTTTAAGTAAAACTTATCAAATAATCTGTAAGGAAATAAACTTCACCCAAAAGTTCTCAAACTCTTGGATTAATGTCCTAACTATAAACACTAAAACTGTAAAACCCTTAAAAGAACACATGGGTAAGTCTTCATAACCTTGGATTTGGTCATGGTTTCTTAAGACTTGACATCAGGAGCAAAGTAATAAAGAAAAAAGTAGGTAAACTGGACTTCACTGAAATTTAAAATTTTGTGCATCCATGAACACTATCAAGAGAGTGAAAATACAACCCACAGAATTGGTGAAAATATGTGCAAATCATGTATCTGCTAAGGGTCTGGTATCCAGTATATATAAAGAACTCTTACAACAAAATGACAAAAAGTCAACCCAATTAAAAATGGGCAAAAGACTTTTCTCCAGAGAAGATACACAAGTGGCCAACATGCCCAATGAAGAAATGCTCAGTATCACTGGTCATTAGGAAAATGCAGATCAAAACCTCAATATGATACCATTTCACACCCATTAGGATGGCTTTTATTAACAACAAAACCAAACCAGAAAATAACAAGTGTTGGTGAAGGTGTGAAGGGGTCAGAACCTTCATACATTGCTGGTAGGAATGTAAAATGGTGCAGCCAGAGGGGAGAGCAGTTTGGCAGTTCCTCAAAGAGCTAAGCGTGGAGTTCCCATAGGACCCACCAGTTCGACTCCTAGCTCTGTACCCCGAAGAAGCAGAAAGAGGTGTTCAAACAAAACCTTGTACCCAGATGTTTGTAGACGTGCGTGGGAACAACCGAAATGTCCATCAGCTGATGAACGGATGAGCACAGCGTGGTCTGTCCATCCAACGGGAAGTTACTCAGCCACAGAAATGAATGAAGGGCTGACATTCACTACAATGTGGATGAACCTTGAAAACATTATCCCGAGTGAACCCAGCCAGATGCGAAAGGCCACATATTGTATGATTCCATTTATGAGATATCTACAATAGAAAAATCCACAGAGACAGAAGGTAGATTAGTGGTTACCAGGGGCTGGGGAGAGGGAGGAATGGAGAGTGCCTGCTCAAGGGGCTCGGGGTCTCCATTCAGGGTGATGAGAAGTTCTAGACCTAGGCAGCGGTGACAGAATGTATTTAATGCCAGTAAGTTAAATGCTTTCAGATGGTTAAAATAGTAAATTTTATGTTGTGTGTATTTTACCAAAGTTGAAAAAAATAAAAAGTTCCCAAACTATATAAACCTTGTAGAAACCCAGGTAATGAAGTACCTTTGACAAACAAATGAGCTCAGATTTGCTAAGGGAATGCGTACCTTTCCAGCACAGCCTTTGGGATTGGGGAAGGCTTCTGGAAGAGAAAATGTATGCCACTGGGGACCAGGAGCCCTATTTTCTGGTCCAGGCTCTGCTGTCCTGTGGCCTGGACCAAGTCATGTAAACTGCCCGGGCCTCAGTCAGGAGCCTTGGACGAATCTACTTCTGGGAAGGAAAATCTCTCAGTCGTGTGTAGGACCTTTTCAGGCCTCACATATTTTCATTGACCCTGGCGCCTGACCAATGTGAAGGGTGACGGATTTCTAATGATGCTCTGTGTTCTCCCACCAGCAAACGAGGGTGGGGTGGCACACACAGGGGTCTGGGGGTGTGACGGTGCTCTTTAGTAGAGCTTTTGTCCTAGAGCTGGTTGTATGGCGCTCACAGTCGTGAGAGCCGTGGGGAGTAGATCCTGTCTGCCTAGCCGTCCACCAGCAGACTTCTTGGCACACGCTCAGGGCTGTGTGAAGCACACGCTGGAGGCACAGAGACCCGAAGTGGGTGGAGTGTGTGTTCTACAGGAAGAGGAGACCCTTCCCGAGTCAGTCCAGGGATCACAGCCGTGGTGAGTGCTCTGAAGAAGAAACAAATGCTGGGTGATGAGCGCGGCAGGGTCAGGGACGCTGCTGGAGGAAGTCATACCGACCTGCGATCCGAAGGATGACTTGGAATGAACGAGGGAAACCGCCAAGGTGCAGATCAACATTCCTGCTGGAGATGGAACCCTGGGAGCAGGAAAGAAAAAGTGGGCTAGGGGAAGACATCGTGAAGACAGCCCCGTTCTCGGGTGTCATGCTGACTTGTGGTCAATAGCATTGAATTCAAAGGCCAGAGAAGCATCTCGCTGAGACCACAGCGGGCGCTGCCACCAGCAGGTGCTGCTTGCCCGTCCCCACAGCACTGCCTCCTGTGCTCCAGGAGCATGTCACCAGCAGGAACCACGCAGCATCTCTGGAACTTATGGTCCCAGAGTCGACTGTGTCCGGAAGCCACCATTCCTCAGAGACTTGCCATCTCCCCAGCACAGGACAGTGTGGGTTACAGGACAAGGGGCTCTGGAGTGTGACACCCAGCCTGCCCTGCAAATGCTGAGAGGATGTTTCTCCCTTTGGTCTTCCGTCCAACCGGTAGATCGAAGCTCTGAGGACAGTAGAGCTCCCCGACTTGCACTTAAGCCCCAGCATCGCTGTTTTCAGCAGGACTGTTGCGTGTGTTCAGTGGGTAGGCTGAATCCACCTTGGCCGTGGAAGCCATGCTTCCACAATGGGATGGAGCCCAGGGTGAATGGAACTCACACCTGCCAGTTGTGTGCTGTGTTCCTAGGAGCCTGCCCTGCTTAGAGTCAACGTGGTTGGAGGGCCCAGCACCACAGTTCTGAGGCCAGTGCGGTGCCCTGGCTGCCCCGTCCATGGTGCAGCCATGGGGGCCTGGGGGGCGGCGGTCACAGCTGTGATGGGAGCCATCCCATTAAGCAAAGGAGCTTCTCTGTAAGCCACACATTAGGCACATCCCCGCGTTCAAACTCTCTGAAGTTTGGAGGCTTACATGTCATCGTTTCTTTGTAACTGTATATCTGTTCCATCAGGCTCAATTTTTTTTTTCCTTTGCTTGCAGGAGAATAGATCTGGAGAAACCAACAGCTGTGTTGAAGAAATCATTCGGGTAAGGATATTCTTTTACAACTCTTACCCACTGGTTGACGTAGATTCCACATCTCCAATGTCAGAGCGAGCGCCCTGTGCATGTGTTGTGTGATGTCTGCCATTTCTGAGGGTAATCACATGAGTTGCCTAAAGGACACTTTACAAAACAATGCTTCTTTTAGAAATCTGGGGGCCACACCTCAGTCTGGTGCCTTTGCACAGACTGAGGTGACACTGCATTAAAGGGATCAGCCAGAAGACAGAGGAACAGCGTGGAGATGAAAAATACGGTTGTGTTCACATTTCCACGCCCTCGCGTATCCCCTCCTCTTTGAAAGCATCCCTCAGTAGCCTGTGCTTTCCAGTCAGGCAGGGGCTGCCTTGTTATTTCTCTCCTAGACTTAGTTAGAATCTGAAGCGCTCTGACAGGGGGGCAAGGCTCAGCATTGAGACTTCATTCCTGCATTGTTGAGCGTGTTCTAACTTTGCCTGTCCTTTTCGTCCCCACCATCTCACGTGCACACCCTCCACGCACCAGCCTCACGTGCAGGCTCGCTGAGGCCAGGCCTTGCCGTCGTGTGAGTGTTTACCTGAGTCTCCAGACTTACGCTCAGGACATCCTCTCCAGCCTGTTTTTTCCTTCACTCATAACTTTTCAGGGGAACAACCTAATAATTTGTAGCTCTCAGAAAGCTGATATTACACTGGGCGAAACACCAAGACGAATCAGACCCGACGGTATGGCAGTTCCCTATAAAGGAAAAACAAAACAAAAAAAACCTTTATTTAGCATGCTTTTAACTTTGGGGCATCCTGCACACTTTTTCTTGAATTGCTAGTGAATTACAACGTGCTTATTTGGTTTAAAAGTTTGCAGGAACCATCAGATTGTCTTTAGAAGTAGGATTTCCTTTTTTCTCCCTGTAAAGTATTACTTCTTTTAAGTTTATTTATTGAAGTCGAGTCAGTTCACAATGTTGTGTCAATTTCTGGTGCACAGCCTCATCTTTCAGTCATACATACACATCCATATATTCGTTTTCATACTCTTCTTCCTTGTAGGTTACTGCAGGATGTTGAATATAGTTCCCTGTGCTGTACCGTAGAAACTTGTTGCTTATCTATTTTATATATAGTTGGAAGGCATTATTTCATAAATAAATCTTTTCACTCTCAAATTGACCAAGATAACACATTGAAGTTTGATATGTCGAATTCATAATGATTTTTGTTTCTCTGGCAGAGATTTATATAGGAAATCGTCGTCGCAGTGTGGTAGCTTCATTTCTGGCATTTAAGTAGATGCTAAATAAAATACATGTTATATTTTGTATCTGTATTATCTCTATCCCGGGGTCTTGTTTCAGAGTAAACATGGGTAGTGTGAAATGCCGGTGTACTTTTCCTGTTTTTCTCTTTCAGCATACTTTCGTGCTTGAGGTCCACATATGCAGCGTTTAAGCATCTTCCTTTGATTGGTGATGGTGTTCATGTCTGCAAAGTAATGACACCGCAACACATTGCTCCCCTCTTTGGTTTTACTGTTTAACTGCTTAGAAAACCCTACCCCTTCTGACCCTCCCTTATCTTTTCTGAGGATACGGAAGAGCTCTGCCATTTGTCCTTTTTGTTTGATACGCCAGGCAGGGCTTGGGTTTTATAAAGAGCTTGAGTAATTCACACACCAAAAGGATATACTTCAGGTAGTGCAAAATTCACTTAAAATGAAACTGAATGCTGCAGTCAAGCATTTAAAGCATTCTTTCTCTTTTTCTTAAGAGAGCCGGTGAGAGCCTCACACCCCCGGCCCCCAGGCGCACCTTTCCATGAGACTGACCCCTCGTCCATTACACCCCTGCCCACCTCGAATCAGGCATGAAACAAGAGGGAGAGCCTGGACCAGCGAAGTAATTGACTTATGTGCATGTGCGGGGTCGAGGGTACAGGGCATGTCCTCTTCAGCAGGGAACAGCTGAGCGCTGGGTGCCCTCTACCTAGAGCCGGGGAGGAGTGCTCAGGATAGGAGACGGTGTAGACTTCCCCAGGAGGGGACGGTGGTGCTGGTGTGGTCATGGGAGCCTTTTTCCCTCTCTCCTCACCTGCCAGCCTAAGGTATGAGTGGTGCCCGTTGGTGTTTTGGAAGCTCCTAGAAGATCTGTCTGTGCTCCCAGTTTTTCCTGGAATGTTCTTCTGAGCATCACTTGCCTCTCACGCCCATTTCCCAGAGCATCCTCACCTCTTCTCCCAAGCAGGCCCTCCCCGCCAGACCCAGGTGCAGGGCACCTTCTCAGTCACAGCCTGTGTTTCTTGTGTATCCATCACATGGCAGTGTTCTTCCCACACGGTGGCCCCAGCGTCTGGAATTTAGAATTCATGATTCGGTTGAGTGCGTAGATAAATGAGTAAGTGGAAGGGTCCTGTAAGGGAGAGTGATGAGTGTCATTGTGAGGGCTCCCAAACAAGTCCCGTCTGCTGTAAATCACGGACAGGAGGCACCGGCCTTTTTCCTGCCAGGTGCCTGTGGATGGCCTTTGTGGAGCCCAGTTTTCCTTATCAGGTTCTCTCCCCTGGTGATCAGCTCAGGTAGGCCTGAGGCCGTCAAGGCCCCCAGAGGTACTTGTTACCTGCAACCATCTCACTTAAAATGTGATGGCGCTCGAGGAGAACCGGGTATGGCTCAAATGGTAGAGCACACGCTTAGCGTGCACAAGGTCCTGGGTTCAGTCCCCAGTACCTCCATTAAAAAAAAAAGTAACAATAAATAAATAGACCTAATGCCCCCCCCACCAAAAAAAATTGAAAAAAAGGTGACAGCTCTCTCTTTTGTAGAGAAAGAGCAGGGTCATGAAAAATTCCATAAAATGATGAAAATTGAGATACCCACTTCACAGGTGTTCGCATGCCTGTGCCACGTGGGAGGTGCTAGGAGGACACAGCCCCCTGCCCTTTGGGAACCGACAATGCGCTGGGAGAGATGGGTGCTAAGGGTCTTTTAATCTCACAAATAAATGTGTGATGTTAATTGTGATAAATACTCAGGGTTTGATGAGCACTTACTGTAGGGTACGTTACCTCATCAGGGGTCAACAACCTCCCAGAGGGTGCAGCCTTGGAACTAAGAGTGGGAGGATGGATAGAAAAGCAGCCTAAGGAAAATGGTGAGGCTTCCAAGCAGAGGGAACGGACGAGCTCAGTGTCTTAGGGACCTGGAAAGAAGAGAGGAGGCAGGCGTGGGAGGGAAAAGCCACGCAGGAGAGGCCAGTGATGCTGTGCCTTCTCGGCCACGTTCCAGACCCTATACGCACAGGGGCGCCAGTGACGGATCTGAGCAGAGGTGATGTTCAGATGCACCCGTCCGGCTGCTGTGGGGAATTGGTTGAGGGGGAGAGAGAGGGGGAGTAGGGGCCGCTGCAGGTGTCCAGCGAGGGCTGCTTGGTGGGGCTCTCGCAGACGTGGGAACGTCCAGGGAGGTGCTGGTGCTGGGGCAGGGAGGACACCATGCACTCACCTTGAGATATGCTGAGTCTGAAGCTCCTGTGTGATTCTCAGGTAGACGTGGAGAGTGCGGATATGCTCAGAACAGGGGTCTGGGCTGCAGGCCGGCATTGGGATTAATTAGCATGTTGGTGTGAAACCAGAGAAGTGGGTAAATTTGCGAAGAGAGAGACTGGAGGCCGAGAAGCAACGAGAGCCCACATTCCACCGTGTAAAGGCCAGGGAAGGGGTGAGTCACTGGCAAATGAAGGTGAGAGGGAGTCACTGGAGGAGGTGAGGGAAAGCCGTGACCCTGAAAAGTCACAGAATCCAAGGAGTTTCCAGGCGGCAGAGAGGACGAGAGAGGTGAGGCTGGAGAACCACCCTGTGGATGGGACAACAGGAAGGTCATTTGTGACCTTATGGGGTGCTGTTTCCATGGAGGAGAAGGGGCAGGGTCCAGATGAAAGAACAGAGTCCCAGAGTTTAGAGACTTCCTGTGAGGATGGGCTGTGGTTTCCATTCAGGTCTCTTTACGTTTGCAGTAAGTCCTATCCAGTCCCGACTGAGGGAAGCCTCGCGTTAATGCAGCTCTTGCTAAGGCGGAGGGACTCTTCTAAGCTTCTTGCTTATCTTATCTCATTGGATCATCACAGCTGCCTTCTGTGGAGTGGGGCACCATTATCATCCCCATTTTACAGATGAAGAAACTGAGGCGAGAGGAGGTTAATCCCAACTGGCCCAAGGGTACGCAGCTAGAACGGGACAGAGCTGGGATTTTAACTAGCACCCTCTGTCTCTTAGCTGCCAAGCTGTGTTATTAAAGGAAGAAGCCCTTCTGCCTCCCTGGCTCGTTCATGAAACCACTCAGGCATTTTGCTGTGAAAGGGAGGTTTCCTGTTTCCCCATGTTTATGACCCGAAGGTGCCCGAGCACGCACGTGTGCACTTGACCTCATGGCCAAGGCATCAGCCTCACCTTTAAACTTCTTTTCCCTCTCCTCTCTCTTACTTCTGCTGAGGTGACTATTTTCAAGTCATTTGAAAATTACATGATGTTCCCAAATATAATTAGTTCTTATTTTCAGTCAGAGAACTTTTATCGTGGGACCTGGTAAATCTGTTGTGTTACTGCAAAATTCATCTAACCGAGGGAGAAATTGTAACTGAGTTCTATGGAGATGGACACTTGGGGCTGGGGGTCCTCATGACTGGCACGTGTTTGTAACAGACAGGTTCCTAAGTGACGCTATTTAATCCTTAAAGCCTCCAGCGCTGTAACACTTAGGTGCTCTTCGTCGCGTTATCCATTAGTGAAGAATGGCATTAACGTTTGTTCAGCAAATAAAATTCGTTTACAACTTAATGGGGTCGCACAGGGCTGGAATCCAGGGTGCACGGGTTTTATGCAAGACAGCTCTCGCTGGCAGTGAGTGAGGGCACTGCTTGTAACATCGTGAGCCTTTGTAATAAGAGACCAGCGTCTGAGATGTGGTTTGGACGTAACAGATGAATTTAGAAACAATTTCAGTGCACCATCTGAGAA